TTCCAAGTTTTTTCCTGGCAGGAGCTTCCCTCCAGATTTTTTTTATTTTTTTTATTATTATTTCATTTTGCAGGTGGACTAAAGGGACACGTCATATTTTTTTCACACACCCCGTCCTCTCCCTCCTCCCCGTTTTTTTTGTGGCGATAGAGAGCCACATCATCAACTCGGAGTTCCTCCCACTTCTCTCTGTGACTGACGTGGAAACGAAGGGGAAGAAGAAAACCCACCGTCAGGATCCTGACGGCCGTGGAGTCGTCGCTTCGATCAACGTGGCCGGGGGTTTTTAAATTTTTTTTTTTTTTTTCAAAACACTCTGGGACCTGAGAGGAGACGCTACACTTCCTGTGTGATCCTGAACTACACCCTCCTCCCCCGTCCTCCCCCGCTGACCTCTGACTGTATCCACTGCCCTGTAAGATATATTTAGACTCCATACTTATACGTCACACACTATCTTTCAGTTTACATTTCCCCTGCTGACCTGACCAGGGTGATGGAACTGCCACGGCACGGCGTCACCTGAAACGAAACGGTACTGTTGTTTTTGGGTTTTTGTTTTCAATTTTTTTTTCCGTTTCTTTTTAAACACTACATGGTTGTAAAGCTACACTCTCGACAGAAGAGACGCTCGTTCGGTTTCACGTTGTGGTATACAAAATCAAACTCTTGAGCGCCCCCTATAGGAGGTGCTATTTTGTGGAAAATGTGGAATTTTCAGCCACAAGCAACTGACAGACACCACTGACGTCCTGGCAACAGTGCATCATGAACAACACTACATAGGAAGAAGGTGGTTTTTTGTTTGTTTTTTTTTTCTTGTCGTTGCCATTTTTCAATATTTCAAACTTTCTCGCCACTGTAAAACTGCAAAAAAAAAAAAAAAACAACAAAAAAAACAACCATAAACTTGTGTTTAAAAAAAAAAAAAGGAGTTGCAAAGACGTGAAGGGGGAGAGAAAAAAAAAGAGAAAAATAATTGCTAATTGTTTATTGTGCATTACCTCAGCTTTTAGTTTGCTGGTCAGTGATTGGCTGTCGCTCAGACACACCTGGAGAAGTGTTTTTTAACTGTCCTTTCATTTCACTCGTCGCCACTGCAGCCCGACGGGACGATCCATCGCAGTATTTTTGTTCATGTTAAAAATAAGAGCGCGCCCCCTCCACTCCCCCCCGCCTGGTTCTGCTGACGGCCCTGCGTCCAAAAAAGGACTCACCGTGTGTGTGTGTGTGTTTTCAGCCATTAGACGTCGGCCACGAAGGCAAATTTGTCAAACACGTAGAGGAGCAGATTTTTTTCCGGCAGATTGGAGGTGAAAACTCCGTCCTGGTGAGGAGGTTAGTCTGCCTGTCAGCAGAACGGAACTCCCTCCTGACCGGCTGTGATATTCCTGTCTGGATCTCCAGTCGGAGCGGCTTCTCCTTCCACTCAGCAGAGGAGCAGATAGAAGCTGAGAGAATAGAAGGAGAAAAAAAAAAAGAGAGAAAGAAAGAAACGCAGACGAGCCCCAAAAAAAATTTGAAAAAAATGGAACGTTTCTATTTATGATATTCACGAGTGTTTCACGTCCTTCTGTTGTTATTGGTTGTTTGTTTTTTTAATCCCTCTCGGAGTGTGTCGTCCGTGTGTGATGACATCACACGGCGACTGCAGACCAGCAGCCTGAACATTTCTACGTCCTCTATATCTACACCCAACACCTTGTTATTGCTTTTTTCCCAAAGATTTTACCTTAAAAAAAAAGCACATTTCTGCTCCACATGTATTTCCTGTGTTGAGGTTGCGTCTTTTTTTATTATATTTTATTCAGTTTGATGTTAAATGCTGCATTTTTTTTAATTTTTTTTTTTTATGTCAGTGTTGAAACTCCGAGGCTTTGAAACGACAACAGTCGTGATTCTGACGACGTTCTGACTCAGCTCCTGGCCTTAAGTTATTGCTTCTCACTTTTGTTTTTATGTAAAAAAAAAAAAAAAAAAAGATGAATTAAACACATGATGGCGCTGTCGACAGAGAAGGGAATTACTGCAGAGTGGGGGATGGAGAAAAAAAAAAACCCCAAGTTTTTTTTGTTGTTGGGAAGAGCAGAAACCGGAGGTCGACTCATGAGGGTTGTTGGGTTTTTTTTGTTGTTGTTTTTTTTTTTTTTTTAATTGCGGTTGTGTTTGTCAGCAGGTCCAAATTACAGGCGAAGTAAACGTGGGAGAAACATTCACACAATGTCAAAAGGGCCTCGTGGCCCGGCAGCGGCCGCCTTCTGAACAATGGAGCGCTGCGTGGGTGTGCAGAGCAGGGACAGTGAAGGTGAGAAGCTGAGCCGTTTATCATTAGCTGACAGAATAACAACGTCCCCGACCGTCTCCTCTCCTCCTCTCTCGGCGGACACCGGTGGCTCGGGGCGGCGCCGACGTTGTCTTGTACGATTGTGAAAACCGCGTTGGTCCAATAAGTATTTTTCAAGGCTCCAAACCTCCTATTTTTGTCTTATTATCCCTTACAAGTATTATCAGTGTCGCCGTGCATGCTTCTGTGGAGGGACGGCTGTCGGTCAGGAGGTTTGGGTTTTTGTTTTTTTATTTGTGCATGAAGTTAAATCACAGTGCTGGAGGAAGAGGAGGAGGAGGAGGAGGTGAAGGAGGAGGAGGGGGGGTATTAATAAAGAGCATTATCTCACTGAGGGTCCAGTGTGGAGTTTTTGGGTGGAGGAAGTGGCAGACGGTCCCTGCAGCAGCAGCTGGTTGGGTCCAAGTCAATAACCTGGGTTACTGCTGCTCCGCGCCTCCGTGACCTTCATCATCTCCCGTCATGGCAGATGTGTGGAGTCCAATTTCCCCTCTCCATCCCTCCCTCTCTCCCTGCCCGCCCCTCCCACTTTTTTTTAATGAAAGTAAATTTCACGGACAACACGGGGGCTGTGCCGAGGATAATCTGGAACCTTCTGAGATGTTCCTCCTGCGGAGAAATTATGGAGCTGCTCGTTTGTCAACATCTCCGTCAGACACTGGTACCAGAGTGGGGGGAGGAGGAAGGGGGGAGAGTAGGAGGGATGGAGAGTGGGTGAGGGGGGGGGGGGATCAAGGAGCGG